AAGCAGGCCCTCAGACACGCCCGGCTCTCCATCTCGACGGACAACATAACCGACGTATGGTGTCTACCTCGCCCCTTCAACATACGTTCCGATTGTTTCACCTGGTGGATCATCTGGGGATCCAGTTTCAACACATTCTGGGCTGCCGAAACATTCTTGCGGATGCTCTATCTCGGCCAGGCAAAGTCGCTCCCACAGAGTGGAAGCTTCACCCAGACGCTCTCCCCACGGTCTCCCCAACATAGACCTATTCGCCACCAGCCAGAACTACCAGATCCCGACCTACATATCTCCGGTCCCGGATCCCCTGGCTTGGGCAGTCGACTAAACGCCTCCAAGTCCAGAGCCAGCCTTTCGACCTCCCCTGGTGTATGCCCTGGACAAGAAGGTTGATGCCCCACTTGCATACGGCTGGGTACACCAGTCTAGACCTTGACTGAGGGTTATTGTCGGGCTGTGTAGTACCAGAACACAATGCATACCTGACTCTTCCCTTCCATGTAATGGTCATCCAGGCCGACCATACGGCCGAAGCCGGGATGAGGGAATTGGAGGTTCCCATACATGGAGTGGTCACCCGAAGCCGAACAGACAGCCAAGGATTGGCTAGGGAACAGAGTCTGGAAATAAAAGATGAAAGTCCACATCTGAAGGTGTGCCCGCCTCCGGTTCTGTCGAATAAAGATGCATTAAGGAGTAATGCAGGATAAATAAATAATCTAGTAAATTCCTAGAATTTTTTTATGTTTGTATACTTATCCTGCATTGCTGCGTCTAAAGGGACCCACCCATCACAGATCTACCTACCCACGGTGCCTTCAGATGTCTGGACTCCATAAGGATGTTCTTGAGAATAACAGAGTGTGTCCAGGCCAGTTGCAAACTTCGCGATTTGATCAATTACTTTCAAGCCCAGTGGATCGCTCATCCCACCTTCTCTCCCCGATCCTGGTCTGTGATTAACATAGCTGTCAGGACGAATAACTTTTTTTTCTCACGTTTTAGGTTGGCACAGACGTATCAATAACAAGGTGGGTGAGCAGTCCCTGGGGATCTACAGATTGATACAGAAGCTTTTCAGAGATGCCAGTCTGTTACCTCTTCAATCAAGACTGATTCAGGAGGGACGACAGGGCATATGTGCGCAAATCATCCACATCTCGTCAAGAGGAGATCTTCGACATATGGTGATGATACAAGGATGGAGACCTCTCCCTGAGTCAGTTACTCTCACAATGTTCGGTTGTACATGGCCCGATATTGTGAAGATGAAGATGACAATGAACACAACGATTAGAACTGAAGAACTGTATATATGAATATAGGTACTTATCTGTGAAAACAGGAAATACCTTGTAAATACATCACATACATCCAATAACGTGTAAAAATATCACATACATCCAATAACGTGTAAATACATCACATACATCCAATAACGTGTAAAAACATCATATACATCCAATAACGTGTAAATAAATCACATACATCCAATAACGTATAAATACGTCACATACATCCAATAACGTAAATACATCACATACATCCAATAACATGTAAATACATGTACATCACATTCATCCAATAACGTGTAAATAAATCACATACATCCAATAACGTATAAATACATCACATACATCCAATAACGTATAAATACGTCACATACATCCAATAACGTAAATACATCACATACATCCAATAACATGTAAATACATCCAATACCATGTAATTACCTCCGAGCCGACCCGTCCTTGTTTTAGCCCCTTAATGCCGAGCGCCAGACAGGGTAACAACAAGTACAATCTTTTAACGTCTTTTTGTATGACGCGGTCGGGGATCGAACCACGGACCTTCCGCTCTCCGGGCGGACGCTCTACCACTAGACCACGGAGGCGGTCCGGTGCGGTTATAGCCTGCACCCCTCTAAACAAAGCAATTAACTTAAGTTAAACCAGTTTGACTGGCCTTTTTTCACAACATGACAAGATGTGTGACAGGATGTCACTTATCTACGAAAACCCAACAATCAATTTGAGTTTGGGCAATTGTACTGGACTCACTCAAGGATCACAAGATGTCACTTTATTGTCAAAGCATAACAATCAATTTGATTGGTATCAATCACCATCCTAGATATAAGCATTCACAATAAATCTCTGTGTACATAACCAAAAAACACCAAACATAAATAACTCGACAAACCCTAAACAAAAAGCAAATAAACACCACTTCTGAGCCATCAGTAGTAATAGTAACTTCCCTGGGGAATTCCAAAAGCAATTTAAAATAAATAAAATCTTTAAATTACCCAAAAATGATAACCTAGAAATTAACCAACAATATATACTAGAGGAACTACTCCATGTACTAAATAATAGAAAAAAAAGGAACAGCCCCAGGACTTGACCTTACCTCATACCAAATAATTAAACAGCTATTACAAAATCTTCTTGAATCACTACTTAAACTATATAATCTCATCTACCAAAACGGCCAGGTTCCTACATCATGGAAAGAGGCATTGGCTATCCCAATACCAAAGCCGAACAAACCAGCAAACGAGGCAAACTCCTACAGACCAATCTAACTAACCTCAAACTTATGTAAAATCATGGAGGCAATGGTCAAAAACAGACTCAAACACTATCTAGACCAAAACAATATAATAAACCAAGATCAAAGTGGATTATCCCAAGGCCGATCAACCTTAGACATCCTCGCCCGATTAGAACAAGACATCAAAACGGCCAACTTTACCGACAATACACAATAGGCATATTTCTAGACTTCTCCAAAGCTTTCATTATGGTATGGCATAACGGGCTAATACAAAAACTAAGAAAGGCAGGACTTAAAGGCCAAATAATAAACTATATCCAAGACTTCTAACTAATGGCAAAATAACCGTGGGTATCGACCAAACGCTATCGGACCAGTGTCCCTTAGAAAATGGCACAGCCCAAGGTAGCATTCTAAGCCTTTCAACACTTTTCAACATTATGATTAATGACCTATTCGAGGGAATACCCAATAAAATTCAAACTTCCAAATACACGGATGATGGAGCCCTCTGGGTCCCCCACCAGAAGCATAAATATTGCTCAAAAATTACTGCAGAATGCATTACATAAAATTCAAATATGGGCAAATAAATGGGGTTTCTCACTAAATGCCGAAAAAAACGACAAGGATAGTATTCAAACACAGAAATATGCGTGCAAACACCCCCAAACTACAACTAAACAAAAAAACCATACAATTCCGAAAAAGAAACCAAATTCCTTGGACTAATCTTTGATGAACACCTCACCTGGGGTGCTCACATTAAAAACCTTACAAATAGATGCACTAAAGACCTAAACACACTACGCTGCCTGACAGGCTCCAACTGGGGGACTCCAAGGAGACCCTACTATCACTTTACAAATCACTAATTAGATCAAAAAAAGACTATGGATGCCAAATATACAACACCTTAAACTCCTCATTAAGCGATAAACTAAACTCAATTCAATAACAACCACTCAAGATAATCACACGCACTCAGCATGGCACGCCGCACATATCGCTACAGGCACTAACAGGAAAAAATACCCCTGGATCTACGCCGAGAACATCTAACAATAAATAACTTGGCCTCAACCCAACAAAACCAACAAATCCAACAGATCCTTAAAACTCAACAGATCCGTAATATCTCTCAACGCATAATAATTTACCTAAATACACACAACCCTAAATAATTTACAGTTAAACACAGCCCCAAATAATACCTTCACAGCCACACTCCAAACCCCCCAAATCGACATATCTCTCTCCACCGGACTAAATAAAGAAACTGATCCAAATACCGCTAAATCCATCACACCAGCATACCTTCAAGAAAAATGGCCAAATTGGTGTCACATTTATGGGTCCTTTGACCTGGGCTCAAAACGCACAGGATTCGGCATCCATATTAACAAACCCAAAAACGAAACACAATCATATAGGCTCTCAAATAATCAATCAATTTTCACAGCCGAATTAATGGGGATAGTAACGACCCTGCACAGCGATGAAATAAATAGACACCAAAACACCCTAATCCTTTCAGACTCATTAAGTGGGCTCCAGGCCATAAAAAAACAAGAACACAAAAAAAACACCCAAAACTAATACAACAGATAATTAAAAGTGCCAACAATCTACGTAAACTAGGTAAAGACAGAAATAGTTTGGATCCCTGCCCATGTTGGAGTGTTTGGCAACGAACACGCAGACAAAGCAGCCAAATCAGCACTAAAATTAGCAGAAGTAAGCATCAACCTACAAATATCAAAAAACGAAATTAAAAGTATCACAAAGGAAAAAATCTTTCAAAAGTGGCAAAATAACTATCAGAAATCTGATTGCAAACTAAAACACCTGCTACAAAAGCCACTCAAAAAACCTAAAATCCACCATAAAACCAAAAACATTGACAGAGTAATACCTAAACTACAAACAGGCCACACTAAACTCCCACCTAAACAATATTATATATAGTATACTGAAACATATATGTTTTATATTTGGGGTACAAGATCAATGAAGTACAACTTTGTTTTGGTACAAAATCACATACAATCGATTGCCATAGATATTTACTCAATGTGCACATTGACATGTTTATTTTTAATGTTATGGAAGATTGGATGTCGAAAGTGACTAGCATACAGTACACATATACTTTATTGGAATATCTGAACTGAAATTAGCAAAGATTTGAAAACCACAGGGAAGCAAATTTGCCTTGTTACAAGTCAACATGACACAACAAAATATTTCAAGTCATATACGTGTAATATTTGTATGTTGGCTTGGTGTTGATTCTGAATCTGTTTAAATAGTATTTATTCCCATGACAATTTATAAATAGTGATGCACAACAATAATACTTTCGTTGTCATATGATAGTATTGTATAATGATGAAACCTTATTTGATTACAGGTATTTTCATGGCTTGGGAGGAGAAAACTCCAGTGAACACTGAATACAAGGAGAAGCTCCTAGTTGATGGACATGTTCTTCAGGATCCTTTTTCCTTGGATTTTGGATGGAACAGGGAGGAGAAAGGAATCAACATGTGTCCGTCAGTGTACATTACAGACATAGCAAGTTACATGAATGAGAGAACTCCAGAGGACCTTGTGAGACAGATCACCAATGAATATAAAGTTGGTATTATTCATGAGACTGGGTGAAATAGATTTTGTACCTCAACATAAGGGACAATAGTTCAATTCTTAAACTTATCCTATCTCACACTATGCATTTCTTATTCTTCGATCTTGGTGTGGAAACGTCCTAAAGTTTCCAGCTTCAAAAACACCATACACCCAAACACATCCCATACATCACCAAATCACCACTGTGATCATGGTTCATGCACCACTAAAATCCCGTGCGACACGACCCCCGCGACCTGATCACCTGACATATCCAGCACCCTCAATCTCAATTCTATCGCTATGGTGTTCGGACGTTATACTTGAACAGAGAATTTTTTTTATTTTTTTTAATTTTTTTTTTATAAAATTTAAATACACGACTTCAATACTAAAGTTTACCATTACCACGAAGAGTGTGCGGTATTAATATCACCTTGTCAGAATTGGATCTCAACTTACTCAGCTAAATGTTTGATAAAGGCGACTGTTCGTCGGTTCAAGGCGTTGTTTACGGTTTTCGTGCATGTTGTTTTTTCCTCCGCTTTGGAACCCAAACGATTGTGTTATCCCCTGTGGCTGTACCTTCGTTTTCTTGCTTAACAAGATATTAGTCTATTCGGCGATGGTTACATCGCTGTCCTTTGAGGAGGATCGCTTTCCGTCTCATTTGACTGCTGCGATTCCCGCCTCTGTGCGGATCACGCCCCTGTGCATGTGTCCGCTTCCTCACAGGCTTCTACAGTCGTCTTGCTTTTATATGGCCAGTGTACGGTTCTGTCGTCTATCCCTTCACCTCGACTAACTTTTAGTCCATGAAACAAATAATTTCCCGATGCCCATACATATGTGAAATAAAGCTAGCTAGAACTGGCTAAATATGACTTTGTATACATATCTAGTTTGTTGTTTTGTTTGTTATTGTTGTTTTTTCTCACATACAATAACAATATTCCACAGTCATCGTGTTGGACTACGGCCCTTTACTCAGCTTGGGAAGTCAAGCTGTCAACTGAGGGTTGCCTCTTCCTCCCCCCCCCCCCCCCCCCCCCCCCCCGACACGCTTGCTACTCGGGTCATCGCTTCTGCAGCACTCTGAGGATATAGCTACACCTCTCCGGCTTTCTAATGGCGACAACCCTTCTGACTGAAAACGCTACAATCACCGGCGAGGAAGTGATAGTCGACTGACGATGGATCTTCACTCACAGGATCGTCATCCTTTGCTGGATCGTAAACGACCGAGTGATCAAGGGATCGACAGATCAACATACTTCACCATTATCGACAAGCATTGTTCTTTGATGGACATTTAGCCAAATCGTACCTTGGAGGATCGACAGGATCATCATCCTTCGAGGGATCATCAACGGCCGAGGGATGGACAGATCACCCTACTTCGCCATTATCGACATACTTCACCATTATCGACAAGATGCTGATATTGGATGGACAGTCCGTCAGGTCGTAACTCGGAGGATCGACAGTTTCGCCTCTCCTACAGATCGATACCGAGGGATCTCCACTCTATGATACATCGACACTTCGTCCAATCAAGAACTCGTCCGCTAGGACGACTTTCCCTTGCAGGAAGTCTCGGTGGCTGAGTGGGTTAGATCGCTGACTTTGTGTGCTGGCGATTAGGTCCCTTACTCTGTCAGTGTGGGTTCGAATTCCGACGGGACTCGACCACATAAAGTATGAGAATATGTACTTTACTGAGAAGATGTTATCCCAGATATAACTTTGTTATATAAAACAGACGAACGACGGATCGTCCTCACTCATAAGATCGTCATTCTTCCACGGAATCAATAGACCTCTCTGATCGTGCACCGGACTTCTATACGCGAACTTGGACTAGGCCTTCGCTGCATTCCGTTGTCTAGATCAGACAATCCAGTGATTGTCATCATAAGCATCTGTCTGTGTCTTGGGATACGATGACCTGCACCAACCACATCAGCGAACTTGACCAACCAGTCTCGTTGGTCTCTTACAGGCACAGTCACCTCTTATGGCGAGCTTGAGATACTGACGTCTCTTCTCTACCGTGATCTTCATGGATCAGGTCCACGTGCCTGCCAGCCTTGAACTGTCTTACGATACTCTCTTATGAGAAATCACCATTACAAGGTTATGATGATTGAGACAACGCGCTCTCCCTATTCAGATTTGAATCATCAGACGGACGACATTATCCTGAGGCTAGATATCATCGTAGCCGACCTTTATCATCGATACCCTCGAATTCAGCCTGATATTCCATATTAGCTGGCACGTCTTATCCACCCTTGCCGTGGTCAACCTTCACCATTCTAACAGATGATTCGACGGGGGAATTCATCGGTCTTTCATCGATACAAACGGCAGATGTTCGATGTCTGAAGATGGTTTCAAGCATCATACAGGGCTCACCTAGGTACTACACCGGTTTCGTCCCATATTCTACAAGAAATTGACTGCCTATACACCGGTGTTTTTCGTTACTTGGGACACTGCTCGTGTACTGGGAGCTTTTGACCACATGATCGGAAAGACTGCTGTATTTCCTGTTCTGTGCAAGGGTGAATTTCACGTCACGCCGAGATTGCTGTTTGTAAACAAGACTACCATGCTGACTTTGGTACAGGCTGATCTCATGCGAGTTTACAGTAGTAGTCAATGACTATACGTGCGGTCTGTCACATCTTCACAACTCCTTTTGTCGACGCATCGATACCGGAATGAACAGCGCTTTTTCCGGTGCCTGGGCGATGGAATCGATCCTCTCTTCACCAGTTATACGCATCATCGATCAACCTGGCAGGACAAGTCATCCCTCACTTATTCAAGACGAGAGTTGGCACGGTTTCTGCTATTACCTCTCTTCCACGTGGTCACGATTACTCTGCTTCGTACGATCAGCCAACCAGTAAACTACATCTTCAGCCTCGTTTTTCTTCTAGATACCAGATCAAACGCATGACTGTCAAGATTTTACCATCACTTTAGAACACAATTTTTGTGTTATGTGTGCTTCAACGTCGATCTGCAGGTGAACTCATCTCCACATCAACAACTCGGAAGTTCTACGTTTGTAATCGGACGACCTCTCCGCTACCCCATTCCAAGCATCACCGGTCAACAGACGACAGACAACTTGGACTTCAACAACTAGAAGGAGAACCACTCCTCTTGTCACTGGTGGAACACTACCCTCTGGAATTGCTTCGACCCATGGCTATGTACACGAGTGACTAAACCAATTGCTGTTCGTCACACAGGAATCTGTAATACATTTTACCTGGACGAAGGGATTCAAGCAGTTACTCAGACTACAATTTTTCCCTGGAAATTATTAACTCAACTACGTTGGTTAATAAATTATCAGAAGTCCAACTTACAACCATTCCTGGATCTCCATTCCTTGGGATAAAGTCTAATGAGCCAGACTAACATCCTAGTACCAGAACACAGTGAGGAATCACCTCTTGTGAAGGACAGTGGAATCGATTGTTTGCGCAGGAACTTGGTTACACAAGCCGGAATACAACAACCACCTGTTCATGGATGCCTCACTTCAAGGTTGGGGAGCTCACTTCAACTTGGAAGTAACATCAGGCCTACGGTCAGAAGCAGACAGCTCTGCCACATCAATTATCTGGAATACGAGGCTGTAATCCGGCCAATATTTCATTGGACCCCACAGTCAAGAAACCAACGTCTGATGATCGGGACACTCATTTCAACAGTGGGATATACTATACACCTTCAAGGCATGATGAAATCAGAGACCCTCCTGCAGTTGACTTTTTCACTTTTGGTAGACAAGCTCAACTTACTGATAAAGGCAATGAACCACTTGTGGATAAAACCTCGAACTTTACGTTCATGACGATCTTCCTTCTTGCACTTGTTCCTGCAGCTCGTGTTTGAGGAACTCGTGCTTAGACATCGGCTGAGTCCGGTTCCAGCGACTTCGACAAGATAAGCATTCAAGGACAACCGGATCGTCTTTTCACTCTCAACCACTCTCATTTATTGAGAGCTGATGTCGTGGAAGACATCTCACTTTGCCCAGCCTGAGCCTACAAGATCTACTTGAAGGCATCTCAGACCATCCGTCGCTGTCACAAGCATATTTTTCATCCACTTGTCGACGACTGCAACTTCTGATGTATCTTGTATAACCACCATCTCCACTGGCTACCGTTCTATGATCCTCGGGGTCTACACCTTTGAGAGACTACCGCCCCAGCTGCTTCCAATCCTCATGAGATGAGGGCAGTGACTTCCACCTTGGCGTTGCATAGTACTGCACACTTTCAGCCATCATGGAGGGATTGTTCTGGCGTTCTGATATGGTCTTCACCTCCTACTCCTTTCGGAATTTCAAACGCCGACTTCCAAGGTCACAGCAGCCACACAGCGCAGATGAGGAAGCCCAGCGGACTACAAGTCCCAAGTCTGGTTTCCTGTATATACTGCAATATTTTCATTTATTGCTTATGTCAATCGGGTTTCCCAGACAAGCTCCCAGAGGGAGGGTATATATGCTTGTCTGTTGGGACTTCGGTCCAAGTCAATAGAAGCCACCATCCGGTGCGGCCATTTGTTAAATGGTGTCCCAATCTTCTACCTGCTTACCTCTGTCTTTTGCACATGTGATGTCTCAGTAGTTGATTGAAGACCTGTGTGATAAACGGGTATCCTTCATGGTTTCCTCTTCTCGTTCTTACCTTATTCAATCTCTACGTGAGTTTGATAGGTTGACGAGGGGGGCACGGGTGGCCCAGTCGTCTAAGACTGTGATTCAATTCGCTGTGCAGAGTTGCATCCCTTGGGCACGCCAGAAACCTATGATTGTGGGTTCGAATCCCGGTTCGCCCCAATTATGTTTCTAGGTTTGTCAGCACCCTACCCGTGCTCGTGGGTTTCACCGAAGTGGTAAACGTCTGAGACCTGTATCACTTTGGGCTTTCCTCCCACATTAAGTTTTTTATACCCCCGACAAAATGTCGAGGTAT